TTACTATAATGGTGCTACTATAATGGTGTTACTATAATGGTGCTACTATAATGGTGTTACTATAATGGTGTTACTATAATGGTGTTACTATAATGGTTTACTATAATGGTGTTACTATAATGGTGCTACTATAATGGTGCTACTATAATGGTGCTACTATAATGGTGCTACTATAATGGTGTTACTATAATGGTGTTACTATAATGGTGCTACTATAATGGTGTTACTATAATGGTGTTACTATAATGGTGCTACTATAATGGTGCTACTATAATGGTGTTACTATAATGGTGCTACTATAATGGTGCTACTATAATGGTGTTACTATAATGGTGTTACTATAATGGTGTTACTATAATGGTGCTACTATAATGGTGTTACTATAATGGTGTTACTATAATGGTGTTACTATAATGGTGTTACTATAATGGTGCTACTATAATGGTGTTACTATAATGGTGTTACTAATGGTGTTACTATAATGGTGCTACTATAATGGTGTTATTACTATAATGGTGTTACTATAATGTGCTACTATAATGGTGTTACTATAATGGTGTTACTATAATGGTGCTACTATAATGGTGTATATATGCTACTATAATGGTGCTACTATAATGGTGTTACTAAATGTGCTACTATAATATGTTACTATAATGGTGTTACTATAATTTGTTACTATAATGGTGTTACTATAATGTGCTACTATAATGGTGTTACTATAATGTGTTACTATAATGGTGTTACTATAATGGTGTTACTATAATATGCTACTATAATGGTGTTACTATAATGGTGCTACTATAATGGTGTTACTATAATGGTATACTATAATGCACTATAATGGTGTTACTATAATGGTGTTACTATAATGGTGTTACTATAATGGTGCTATAATGAATTGTTACTATAATGGTGCTATAAGGTGCTTACTATAATGGTGTTACTATAATGGTGTTACTATAATGGTGTTACTATAATGGTGCTACTATAATGGTGTTACTATAATGGTGTTACTATAATGTGTTACTATAATGGTGTTACTATAATGTAGTGTTACTATAATGGTGCTACTATAATGGTGCTACTATAATGGTGTACTACTATAATGCTATAATGAGCTTACTATAATGGTGTTACTATAGTGTTACTATAAATGTGTTCTACTATAATGGTGTTACTATAATGGTTACTATAATGTGTTACTATAATGGTGTTACTATAATGGTGCTTACTATAATGGTGCTACTATAATGGTGCTACTATAATGGTGTTACTATAATGGTGCTACTATAATGGTGTTACTATAATGGTGTTACTATAATGGTGCTACTATAATGCTACTATAATGGTGTTACTATAATGGTGTTTACTATAATGGTGCTACTATAATGTGTGTTACTATAATGGTGCTACTATAATGGTGTTACTATAATGGTGTTACTATAATGGTGTTACTATAATGGTAAGCTACTATAATGGTGTTACTATAATGGTGTTACTATAATGGTGCTACTATAATGGTGTTACTATAATGGTGCTACTATAATGGTGTTACTATAATGGTGCTACTATAATGTTACTATAATGGTGCTACTATAATGGTGTTACTATAATGGGTGCTACTATAAATGTTTACTATAATGGTGTTACTATAATGGTGTTACTATACTATAATGGTGCTACTATAATGTTTTACTATAATAGTAGCTACTATTTGGTGCTTCATAATGGTGTTACTATAATGAATGTACAAGTGTTACTATAATGGTGCTACTATAATGGTGTTACTATAATGGTGTTACTATGTGTGCTACTATAATGGTGCACTGGTGCTACTATAATGGTGTTACTATAATGGTGTTACTATAATGGTGTTACTATAATGGTGCTACTATAATTTGGCTACTATATGGTGTTACTATAATGGTGCTACTAATGGTGTTAATTAATGGTGCTACTATAATGGTGCTACTATAATGGTGTTACTATAATATGTTACCATAATGGTACTATAATGAAGTGCCTATAATGGTGCTACTATAATGGTGCTACTATAATGGTGTTACTATAATGGTGTTACTATAATATCATAATGGTGCTACTATAATGGTTACTATAATGGTGTTACTATAATGGTGCTACTATATGGTGTTACTATAATGGTGTTAACATAATGGTGCTACTATAATATGTTACTATAATGGTGTTACTATAATGGTGTTACTATAATGTTGCTACTATAATGGTGTTACTATAATGGTGTTATCACAATATTATGTTACTATAATGGTGCTTACTAAATGGTGTTACTATAATGGTGTTACTATATTAATTATTTACTATAATGAATTGTTACTATAATAGTTGCTACTATAATGAATTGCTACTATAATGGTGTTACTATAATGAATTGCTATATAATGAATTATTTACTATATTAATTGTTACTATAATGGTGTTACTATAATGAATTGTTACTATAATGGTGTTACTATAATGAGTTGTTACTATAATGATTGTTACTATAATGAATTTACTATAATGGTGTTACTATAATAGATTGTTACTATATTAGTTGCTACTATAATGGTGCTACTATAATGGTGTTACTATAATGGTGTTACTATAATGAATTGTTACTATAATGAATTATTTACTATAATGGTGTTACTATAATGGTGCTACTATAATGAATTGTTACTATAATGATTGTTACTATAATGGTGTTACTATGATGGTGTTACTATAATGGTGTCAAGTTCCACACCACAGTAGAGGACCTGTCTGCTTTGTCAGGTCCCACACCACTAGAGAGACCTGTCTGCTGTGTCGGTCCCCCAGCACAGTGAGGACCTGTCTGCTGTGTCAGGTCCCCACAGCACCGTAGAGGACCTGTCTGCTGTGACAGGTCCCCACAGCACCGTAGAGGACCTGTCTGCTGTGTCAGGTCCCCACACCACAGTAGAGGACCTGTCTGCTGTGTCAGGTCCCCACACCACAGTGAGGGACCTGTCTGTGACAGGTCCCCACACACAGCAGAGACCTGTCTGCTGTGTCAGGCCCACCACCGTAGAGGACCTGTCTGCTGTGTCAGGTCCCCACACCACAGCAGAGGGACCTGTCTGCTGTGTCAGGTCCACACCACAGCAGAGGACCTGTTGCTGTGACAGGTCCCCACACACCACAGTGGGGACCTGTCTCTGCTGTGTCAGGTTCCCAGCACCGTGGAGGACCTGTCTGTGACAGGTCCCCACACCACAGCAGGACCTGTCTGCTGTGTCAGGTCCCCACACCACAGCAGACCTGTGCTGTGTCAGGTCCCCACATCACCGTATAGGACCTGTCTGCTGTGTCAGGTTCCACAGCACCGTAGAGGACCTGTCTGCTGTGACAGGTCCCACATCACCGTAGAGGACCTGTCTGCTGTGTCAGGTCCCACACACAGTAGAGGACCTGTCTGCTGTGTCAGGTCCCCACAGCACCGTGGGGACCTGTCTGTGTCAGGTCCCACCCACCGTGAGGACCTGTCTGTTGTGTCAGGTCCCCCCAGAGGACCTGGAGACAGGTCCCCACACCACCGTGGGGGACCTGTCTGCTGTGTCCGGCCCCACACCACCATGAGGACCTGTCTGCTGTGTCAGGTCCCACACCACCGTGAGGACCTGTCTGTTGTGTCAGGTCCCCACACCACCGTGGGGACCTGTCTGCTGTGTCAGGTCCCCACACACCATAGAGGACCTGTCTGTTGTGTCAGGTCCCCACACCACCGTAGAGGACCTGTCTGCTGTGTCAGGCCCCCACCACCGTAGAGGACCTGTCTGTTGTGTCAGGTCCCCACACCTGCATGAGGGACCTGTCTGCTGTGTCAGGTCCCACACCACCGTAGAGGACCTGTCTGCTGTGTAGGTCCCCACACCACCGTAGAGGACCTGTCTGCTGTGTCAGGTCCCCACACCACCGTAGTGGACCTGTCTGCTGTGTCAGGTCCCCACACCACAGTAGAGGGCCTGTCTGCTGTGTCAGGTCCCCACACCACCGTAGAGGACCTGTCTGCTGTGTCAGGTCCCCACACCACAGTAGAGGACCTGTCTGCTGTGTCAGGTCCCCACACCACAGTAGAGGACCTGTCTGCTGTGTCAGGTCCCCACAGCACCGTAGAGGACCTGTCTGCTGTGTCAGGTCCCCACACCACCGTAGAGGACCTGTCTGCTGTGTCAGGTCCCCACACCACCGTAGTGGACCTGTCTGCTGTGTCAGGTCCCCACACCACAGTAGAGGGCCTGTCTGCTGTGTCAGGTCCCCACACCACCGTAGAGGACCTGTCTGCTGTGTCAGGTCCCCACACCACAGTAGAGGACCTGTCTGCTGTGTCAGGTCCCCACACCACAGTAGAGGACCTGTCTGCTGTGTCAGGTCCCCACAGCACCGTAGAGGACCTGTCTGCTGTGTCAGGTCCCCACAGCACCGTAGAGGACCTGTCTGCTGTGTCAGGTCCCCACACCACCGTAGAGGGCCTGTCTGCTGTGTCAGGTCCCCACACCACCGTAGAGGACCTGTCTGCTGTGTCAGGTCCCCACACCACCGTAGAGGACCTGTCTGCTGTGTCAGGTCCCCACACCACAGTAGAGGACCTGTCTGCTGTGTCAGGTCCCCACACCACAGTAGAGGGCCTGTCTGCTGTGTCAGGTCCCCACACCACCGTAGAGGACCTGTCTGCTGTGTCAGGTCCCCACACCACCGTAGAGGACCTGTCTGCTGTGTCAGGTCCCCACATCACCGTAGAGGACCTGTCTGCTGTGACAGGCCCCCACACCACCGTAGAGGGCCTGTCTGCTGTGACAGGTCCCCACATCACCGTAGAGGACCTGTCTGCTGTGACAGGCCCCCACACCACCGTAGAGGACCTGTCTGCTGTGTCAGGTCCCCACAGCGCCGTAGAGGACCTGTCTGCTGTGTCAGGTCCCCACAGCACCGTAGAGGACCTGTCTGCTGTGTCAGGTCCCCACAGCACGTAACGGCAGGAGGTTCGCCTCGTTAGGTGGGAGACGTGTGTGTCAGGCGAAAAGAGGGAAGCGTCTCTCTCGGTCGATCGGTCTCGGGTCTGAGGTCTTGGGGTCTCGGATCAATGGTCTCGGGTAATATATTTAAGTACAATAATAACGGGACGGCCATCTAACTACTCGGATCCTCATTTCCGCCACATAAGGGTCCAGTTTACCATATAAGTCGGCCCCCTAATTACCTTACCCCGGCTTAGGACGCATGTGTGTCTGACCACATCATGTAATCAGGTTAGGTCCAGGTACTCAAGTTATAACCCACCTGGCAATAGTCCTCAGGGGGTGGGGGGGGGGTCCGTATATACTTACCCAAACAGTGAGTACATTTTAGCTTAAGGTCCGCGTAGATAATATTCCTACAAAACTATAAAAAAAAAATACATTTGTAAATATTTCTCTCAACATTCTTACATTACTTATTTCAGGTGTTATCCTACCTACCTACCTACCCCCGGCTCCTCCTCCCCCACCCCTCTCGCGCCAGCCTGGATCAGTCAAACTACCTTTGATCTAGTCTCAGTCGACTTCCATCTCAACCTCAGTCAGCCCCCCACACACCTCGGTAAATCAGGAGGTGTGGGGATTAAGACACCTTGTTCTAGGATTAAAAGTTAGGTAGGAATATTTATTTTTTTATTAAAGATCCAGTTTACTAACATTAATGAAATGTTATATATATATATACGTAAAGTAATATTATTAAGTACGGTACAGGAATTATGTTACAGGAATTATGTTACAGGAATTATGTTACAGTTCCATGTAGTCATTTTCCCACCCTGCTACAAAGACCCTTTTCACAAAATATCTCTGAGCACAAGATATATTTTTGTCGTATTGTTTTTGTTTGTATTTTATAATAGTTTTGTTTATTTATTTGTTTACGAGAGGTAGATTACTAGTAGAGAGAGAGAGAGTGAGAGAGAGAGAGAAAATACTCCCACCATCATCATCAGGTCACCCTCCCTCCCCTCCTCCTCCCCCATCCCCTACCGTAACACAAGTCAGAGACATCATTAATACACCTGATCTTTAAGGTGTTCCCCCCTCCCTCACCACCCACTCTCCCTCTCCTCTCTCACCCCTCCCTCACCACCCACTCTCCCTCTCTCACTCCCCTCCCTCACCACCCATTCTTCAGTCCTCCCTACCGACCCATCCCGACTGACCCTAACCCACCCCTACCTTACGCCCACCCCTCATAATTAACCCATTCTTCCCTACAGACACCCACGCCCTCTCTTACATACAGCCTCAAACTCAACTGAATCCAGAAACAATTTGGATAGAATTAATCGATGGTCGAGAAACATTAATCGAAGGAGTAACATATAGACCTAATGTTGATAGAGTTAATGAACGACTTATTTGGGACGAAATGCGCAGGGCTTCCATACATAGTAAAGTCTGTATAGTAGACAAGTTAAACTTTAGCCAAATAGATTGGATCGACCTTACAGGTAACTCAGAATCAGAGGATTTTCTTGAAATAGTTCAGGACTGTTTCCTAAGTCAACATATAACCGAACCCACCCGGGGGTAATAATATACTCGATTTAGTTCTGTCAAACAGAGAAAAGCTCAGTAATGTCGAGGTAGGAAACGAACTTGCCAACAGCGATCACAAAAAAAAATAAGATTTCAATTAGAATTTAATGGCAGACACAAGGAAAATTCCATTAAAGTCACAGATTTCAGAAGGGAAAACTTTGATAGGTTGAAAAGGCAGCCGAGAGAAGGGGTATTATGTTTGGGGACCCGGGATGGATTACACGACCTCATGTGAGGTGACCCCACACAATGTACCCTCAGAGGGCGAGCTCACTTTACCTGGAGACCTGACAACGATATCCTCACAGAATATGACTGTTGAGGATGACCTGATCACGGGATCTGAGGTTGACGAGTTACACAACAAATTAAATAATGAGTTACTTAATGCACAAAGGCAGAACATACCATACAGAAAACTCAGATCAGACAACAATGACCCTAAATGGATAAACAATTAATTAAAGAATAATATTGGACAAAGGAAGGCTATAGGTAGGAGAATAAATCGTGTGAACTTTACCTCTGAGATTATTATAAGGTATTGCCCGGTAGTGTTAAGACCGAGATAAGAAAAGCAAAGAGGAATAATGAAATGAAGGTAGCAAGGGAGGCGAAGTCAAATCCCAAGATATTCTTTCAAAAACATCAAACCAAAACACGAGAAAAGATTGGACCTTTACAGTCAGATACCGGTGAGCTAACTGATAACGACGGTAAAATGAGCAATAATCTGAATTAATATTTTTCAACAGTTTTCACCACCGAAAATTTGAACATGATACCCGAGGCACCGACTATATACAGAGATGGTGAAGAAAATAGATTAAGGGAGATAGTAGCGACTAGTAACGATGTTAGTAAGCAAATAGACAAATTAAAGCCTAGTAAGTCACCTGGTCCCGATGAGATATTTGCCAGAGTATTAAAAGAACGTAAGGAAGAGCTTAGTATGCCCTTAGCAAAGTTGTTTAACATGCCCTTACAAACGGGTGTATTATCAGAATCCTGGAGGATAGATAATGTAATACCGATTTTCAAGAGGGAGATAGATCACTATCCTCTAACTACAGTCCAATCAGCTTAACATTAATTGCAGGCAAGTATTCGAAATCGCCTGGAGATGCACAAGTTGATCAATGATTCCTAACATGGCTTCACATGCGGGCGTTCATGTGTAACTAATCTATTAACATTCTTTTCAGCTGTTTTCGAATCAGTGGACGAGGGGTACAATTATGATGTGGTATATCTTGACTTTAGTAAAGCCTTCGACAGAGTCCCCCAACGAAAGACTAATAAGGAAAGTGGAGGTTCATGGCATTAAAGGTGAAATTATAAAATGGATTAGGGCGTGGTTACAGGACAGAAAACAGCGAGTGAGCATCAACGGAACTAAATCCCATTGGAGCAACGTCACAAGAGGAGTACCCCAAGGCTCAGTACTTGGACCATTATTATTTATCATATACATAAACGACATAGGCTTTTAAAGCGTAAAGTGAAGTATTATACTTGTGATAACTGGATGAATTGGACAAAAACAAGAACAAGAGTTACATGCGTGGCTGCAAACAAAGCTTTTTAAATTCTTATCTTAAAGCATTCATGTGACATGATTGTTTTTCTGATAATCCTCTGGAAATTTTATGTCAACAAATTGCTGTTCAGTACCCTTTGTAATATGCACCATGTACTGTATTTTGGAATACTGAGTAAAGTATTTTGTATTTTGTTTTGTATTTTGGAACACGGTGTATACTATTCTTATATTTTTTTCTTTAAACTTTTCACAATAAAGATGCATAACACAAAGGAATATATTTATGTTATCCTAATTATACAAATTATATTCACTGTGGGCTGGGGCGACGATTCTACAGGTGGAGCAGGCTGGAGTGATAATTCTTCAGGTGGGATATCCTGGGGTGACGATTCTTCAGGTGATCCAGTAAATTTGCTGATGACAGTTAAATAGGGCGTGTAATTAAATCTGACGAGGACTCCGCAAAATTACAGGAAGCTCTAAACAAATTTTTCGAATGGTCTGAAAATTTGCAGATGAAATTCAATGTGGACAAATGAAAAGTAGTTAGTCTTGGAGATGTAAACAGAGAAACCAGATACCAGATGAACAACGATGTTACTGAGAAATCTGAATATGAGAAATATTTACGAGTAATGATAAGTAGGAATCTTAAGCCAAGTAAACAATGTGTATTTACTCGAAACAAGGCTAATAAAGTGTTAGTTGCAAGACTAGCGAGGTCATCCTGAAACTATATCTTGCGCTTGTGAGACCTCACTTGGATTAGGCAGTTCAATTCTGGTCACCGTATTACAGAATGGATATAGAATCCTTGGAAAGAATTCAGAGGAGAATGACAAGACTAATCCCGGGCATTAGGAACCTTGAGTACAGAGACAGGTTAAAGCATCTTAATTTGCACTCCCTCGAGAGACGTAGAGTGAGGGGCGATATGATACAGCTGTATAAATGGAAGTCAGGGCTACGCAAAAGGGACATTACAAAGGTACTCAAACTATCCAACCAGGAGCGAACTCGTAACAATGATTTTAAATTAAACAAATTTAGATTTAGGCGCGAGATAGGTAAACATTGGTTTGGAAATAGAGCAGTGGATGAGTGGAACAAGTTACCAAATATCATCATTAACTCGAATACGCTGGATAGCTTCAAACATAGGGTGGATGCTTATATGAGCAATAGGGGTTGGGTGTAAATGGGACTGTTCTTATGTATGAGTGTATGCTTATTTGTGTATGAGTGTATGATCACCTCTTTATGAGTATATGATTACCTGTATATGAGTGTATGCATATTTGTGTGTGAGTGTATGGTTACCTTTTTATGGATACCTGTGTATGAAGTGAAGTATTCAACACACCTAACCCCACGAGATCCTACCCCCTCCCCCTACCCCCTCCCCCACCCCCTCCAGGACGCCACCAGGATCATTAGTTTGAACGATATCCATCAAGGTGTGATTTATTACCTGCAGTTTTATAAAGGTGTATTGGGAAGATGGTGGGTGAGGGAGGGTGTGTAGGGAGGGGGGAGGGTGGCTAGAGGATGAGGGTGTGGGTGGGTGGGTGTAATGGGGTGTAGGGAGGGGGAAGGATGATGAGGTGTAGGACGGGAGAAGGGTAAGGGTGAGCGGGGGATGAGGGTGTGGTTGCAGTGAAGGAACGTAAGAATGGTGGAAACTGCAGCGGGTCTATTGGCCCATACTGGGCAGCTCCATTACACCCAACCCCTATCGCTCATATATCCATCCAACCTATGTTTGAAGCTATTCAGCGTGTTCGAGTTAATGATGATATTTGGTAACTTGTTCCACTCATCCACTGCTCTGTTTCCAAACAAATGTTTACCTATTTCG